ATGTCCACATCCTGCCCACTTTGCTGTGACAACCTGGGGTCAGGTCCTAAATAGAGCAGCAGCCTCGGCTTGGGCCCCTCCCCAGGACAGCACAATGGGAGACATCCCTGGGGGGTGGCGGCAAAGGAGCCCTACAACGGTCCCTCCTGGATGCCAGGGAAAGAGAAGCCCTGAGTGTCAGAGCAGGGAGGGCTTGTGGAACGCAATGCAAGGAAAGGGCGCTAGGGGTGAGTCAGGAGACGCGGTCCAATCTCAGAGGGAAGCTGGACCCCTGACCGCTCAGGTACCTTCCACCCCAAATCTCCAATCCTACAATCACACCTTGCCCATTTTACAGATGAGGAAACTGAGGCCTAGGGAGGAGCAGGGGCTTGGCCACGGATGGGGCTCCTGACTCCTGGGTGAGGCTGCTGATTGCAGGTGGTCCAGGAGGCAGGGAGACGGATGTGAAATAAAGAGAAGAGAGAAAAGGGAGCTTGGGACCCACAGCCTTTAAATTCCCAGGAAGGAGGTCAAGTCCTTTGCTGAGAGGGAGGAAGAGAGGAAGGGCATTGTGGGAGGTTTGGGAGGGGCCCAATACAGAGGCCTGGCTGGGAGCAGGCCACATCAGTGGGGGTGGGGCCCCAATCAGCAGCCTGAGGGCAGGATTGGAGGAGGTGGATGGTGGGATGAAGGTGGTCTAGGGTGAATTGGGCTTGAAGGGACAAAAGCAGAGGGCAGCGTGACAGTGACCTGGTCAACAAGGAGATCTGGCCCATGAAGGAGGTGAAGGGGGATGGCCTGGGACCCCACTGGCCCGGAGGGGGTTCCTGGTGACGATGAAGATTAGTTCGAGAAGGCAGGAGCCAGAGGCTGAGGGGAGGGAGGAGAGAAGCCCAGAAGGTCAGGGTCAGAGTCAGAATCGGGAGCAGCCGGACCCTTGACGCTCCCCACCCCGCCTGCCCCACGGCCCCTCCCACTCCTGGTTTGTCCAGAGCAGGGGGCTGAACTAGGGGCAGCCAGCCCGGGGGGGAGAACGCCCTGAAGAGACAGAGGGAGGGACGGTGGCACAGTGGTCAGTGCTGGCCGGGACGTGAGGAGACGAGAGTTTGAGTCCTGGCATCAACGTTCCCTAGCTGGGTGACCCCGTCACGTCCCTGGGCCTCAGCTTCCTGGTCTGCACCACGAGGATAACGAATCTGCACATTGTGTGTCCCAGAGATGCCGTGAGAAACCTCCCGACCCCCTAGCATGGGCTATCCTCTTCATCTTGGTCACTGTCCTGAACTCCAAGGGGCCGGGGACCAGTCCTCCCCCTCCCCACAATGTGGCTAGACCAGAGGGTCTCTTTGCTCCAGGATGCTTCATTCCTGGTCATGGAAGTCTAACCCACTTCACAGTGGGAAACACAGGGATAGCCAAGTGTCTTCCTTCCTCTTGAAGCTCCATGGAACACCCCCTCCCACCCCTGTGGGCTCTGGCTGGTCATCCCTCAGGGAGAGCTCATGGCCCCCACTACTGCCCCCTGTCATCATAGACATCATTCTGTTGGAGCAGAAAACAAAAGAAAAAGGAAAGCTGGAGGATGGGCCAGGGAAGAGATGAGGGCGATTCCCGGGGCTTTGAAACAAAACGTAACGCTGATGTGATAATTACATACTGGCTAGAGACAGGCCCGGCAGTGTTGGCACTACTCACCCGCGTTAGGTATGCTAAAACCCAAGCTGGACACCATAATTCACATGTTTCATTTATTTAGAATTTCTCAGTTAACAAACATTCTTCTCTCCTTCCCTTCCCCGCATTGAAAGGGAAAGAAAAACCAAACCCTGGGAACAAATCAGAGGCAGACTGGTGGCTTCCCTCCCCACCTTCTCTTTCTGTGCTTTGGAGATGGAAACTCTGAGTGCATGCATTCTGAATAAAGCACCCACTAAGCCTTTCTTTGTGGGTTGGGACTCAACCAGCCCAGCCCAGCTACGGCTGCTGCTGGGAAAGCTTCAGGTTTACAATGGCTTCCTGTCTCCCCTGCAAGCCTCCCGTAATTGTTGGCCATCTCGGCCATCCTGGGCTCCTGCCCCGGCTGTTGCTCCAGAGACTCCGGACTCCAGGAACCTCTTTTCCCTCCTGCGCACACTGAGCCCTTGGGAGAACCCAGGCTAGCTTTCCTCTGGAAAACACATAGCTCTGCTGACTTTCGTCTCGTTGACCGGTCAATTGTTCCTTCAACCTTCCCAGATGGTCTGCCCTCCCCCATGCATCCTCAAAAGACTTTCCAGGCTCTGGTTGGCAGCTGATGGACATATTATCATCATCCCCCTTTAACAGAGGGGGAAACTGGGGGGCCGGGAGATGGGCACTCTCTGTCCAAGGCCATCCAGTGAGTGTCAGGCATGACTTGAACCCAGATCTCCAGCTTCCTGGTTCCCCTCCCTGCCCCAGCCTGCCTGACATCCCTGTTTTGGAAAACAAATCTCTGAAATCACCAGATGATAGGGGGACTTTCCCATTGTATTTTTAGGTAGAAAAGGAAGTCTGGAGAAGAATGGCTGACTGCAGCTGGGCCCTCCTCAGCTCCAGGAGTCAGGATGTGGGGCCCCAGGTATTCCACGAATGAAGAAACATCCTCTGTTCTTATCCGCCTCCTCCAAAAAAAATGCTGAGTGGGGAATTTTAATAAAAGCAAGGATGATCCTCCTTCCTTACAGTGGCCCTGGGAGAGAGGGGAGTTAGGGCAAGAATTATTATGCCCATTTTACAAATGGAGAAGCCGACACTCAGAAAGTGAGTGGCCCAGGGTCACCCAATCATAGTGTCAGAGCTTAGGTTTGAATCCCAGACCTCTGACCTGAGTCTGCTCAGCCTTCAATCTGCCTGGCTGTGCACTCCAGCCTCACTTCCAGGTCCACGGGCAGGGCGGCTCCATCTCGGGTCAGCAGGGCCTGGGGCTAGCCCGGCCTGACTCACTGTTGTGTCTGCACTTGTCTCAGGGACATGAGCAGCTGAGTTCCGCGGGGATGCCCGGGCTGTTTGCATTTCCCGTCACCCCCTCTGGGACATCACACAGCGTTAGGCACCAAAGGGCCAACCTGGGAAAGACATCACAGCCGCTGGAAGGAACGTTCCAGGACATCTATTCCAAGCCCATCTCACAGACGAGATGCGGAAAGGGAGACTTGTCCAAGGTTATACACAGCTGGTGAATCAGTAACTAAGCTGAGATCTCACATAAGTGAGCATCGGGATTTGAATCCAGGCTCTTTGGCTCAAGGCCAGTACTCTGCTCACAGCCCAGGGCTGGTCTCCCCTCCTCTCAGAGTGCTCAGTACATAGCACCTGGATATTGCATGTTGTTTCCCCACAGGCCTGACGGCAGAGGGCTCTGAGCTAATCTAGTACATGGGGCTCTGCACCTCAAATCTCCCTCTCTGCCTCTTACCTCATGCTCTGATCTGGCTGTGATAGCCACAGGAATGTGCAATGTTAGAGCTGGGAGTGGCCTCCCATCTCATCCCTGCATACAACCCGCCTGACAGAGAAGGAAACCGAGGCTCAGAGAGGTGAAAGCCCATGTCCAAAGCCACACAAGCTGTAAGGAGCAGATTTCTTCTGATCACCCCCCTGAAGGCTGATGGTGAGCTCCCTGTGGGTAAAGGGTCTTTTCATCCTCCACATATCTGCGAGCCCTTCTCAGAGAAGCCCCTTACTCACTCAGGTGCTCAGCAGGCCCTATGTGCCAGCCCTGTGTAGCTGACCTTGGGGACTGGGGGGCAGAGAAGGCCTGTCCTTGGGGACCTTGAAATCTGGCTGGGAAAATCAGACTGATGGGAACAGAGCTCAGAAACATTTCCTGACTAGTTTTGCCACTCAGGAATCTTGGCTCAGATTGTTGGGAACTTTCACGTTACTTCTTAGAACCTGAGTCCTCACTGTTCTCAGGAAGGTGGAGGGGGGCTGTGACCCCACTGAGGGATTTATTTAGTCTTGCACTGCCAGGGGCTGTGGATACAGGTCCCATTCCCAGAACACGCTCAGAGGTGTCCTCAGAACCACCTGGTGAGGAAGATGGTGCCAACACGATCCCATTTGCAGAAGAAGAAACTGAGGCTGAGATGTGGGTCGCTAGTACCCTGGCTGGGTTACTCTTTGCCCCTCGAGGACCCTGCCCTTAATGACTTGACTCATTTGTGATGCCAGCAGGTGGCACTGGGAAGGGGGGAGGAGAGGCAGACGCACCGCCTGACAACCTGGAGAGCGCGGCTTTTGCCAGTAGCCCTCACGCTCCAGAGCCAAGCAGGGATGGCCAGAGGCTCTCTGGGCGCAGGCACAGGCTGCCCTCGATCATCCTGGGGCCTGGTCATGTTTGCCGACATCTCTCAGCCTTTACAAAGTTCCTAGGGCCTTCCCCTTGTGCTGAGGAAAGCGAGGCTTAATGACGCTCCCATTGCCGGAGAGCTCGCTAGGATCATACTGACCGCCACATCCCACGGGCCAGAAAACCCTGGCCCCCAGCTCTGAGCCCCAGCAGGACCTGCTCAGCACCACCTGGAGCAAGGTGCCCAGGGTCATGGCGTCAGAATGGTCTGGTCCCAAATGTGGCAATCGTGTCTCGCCGCGGGGTTAGAAGCTGCTCACAATCCCAGAATCTCAGAGCTGGCAGGGCCCCAGACTCATGGGACAAGCGTCAGAGGGAGTCTGTCTGGTCCCCAGCCTAAAGCTGCCTCTTTGCACCTCCCCCTCCTCGTTCAGCCCTCTGGGGCCGCGGCCTCCTCCTCCTTCAAGTCCCCCAGATCTCCCTCCTCCAGGAGACACACACTCGGGTGGCCTGGGGAAGGGGAGGCTTGGCTCTACCTCTTCTGCAGAGGGTCAATCCCGTTAGCCTTCATCCCCCACCCCCATGAAAAAAATGGCCTCCCACAATCACTCCTAAGAATGAGGCTGACCACTCCCCTGCCCCGCCCCAGCAGGGCACGCC